AGCCTTCTTGTATGACCCACTGATCATTCAGGAGCATGTTGTTCCGTCTCCATGTGTTTGCATGTGTTCTGGAGACTCCTGAGTTGCTGATTTCCAGCTTCATTCCGTTGTGGTCCGAGAAGATGCATAGTATGATCTTGATTTTTTGAATTTGCTGGGACTTGCTTTATGGCCTAGTATGTGGTCAATCCTAGAGAAGGTTCCATGTACTGCTAGAAGAATGTGTATTCTCTAAGTGTAGGATGAAAAGTTCTGTAGATATCTGTTAGGTCTATTTGGTCTATGTGTTGATTAAATCTGCCGTTGATTTCTTTTTTTTTTTTTTTTGGTCTGGTTGATCTGTCCATTGCTGACAGTGGAGTATTAAAGTCCTTCAATACTATTGTATTGGAGTCTAAGTCTCCCTTTAAATCCCTTAACATATCTTTTAAAAAGCCAGGTGCCTTGTAATTAGGTAACTATTTTAGAATAGTTACATCTTCCTGTTTAATTGATACCTTAATCATTATATAGTGCCTCTCTTTTTCTCTCTTAACAGTTTTTTTGTTAAAGTTTATTTGTCTGATAGTAAGATGGCTGGCTATACCAGCTCTTTTTTGGTTTCTGTTGGCATGGAACTTCTTTTTCAATCCTCCTCTTTCAGTCTGCATGCATCTTTGTTGGTAAAACGTGTTTCTTACAGGCTGCAAATAGAACGGTTTTGTTTTTTAATCCCTTCAGCCAGTCTGTGCCTTTTAACTTGGAAGTTGAAGGTCATCAAAGAAGGAGGTACCTTTCTCTGAAGGAAGGAGAGAGCCTCCACTTTGACTATGACCTTGTCTAAATAAGATAAGAGTCGGTGAACTCAAAAGGCTTCCATAGCCTTGGCAACTCATGACTGGAGCCTAGGGAGATTACTGATGCCATAAAGAAGAGTGTCAAATTGTTAAGTCAACAGCAGGAGTCACTGTGCACTTATCCTCATGTAGGATCTCTGTCCTTAATGTGCCTTACATTGTGATTTAATGCTATAATTAGTACTCAAACAGTATTTTTCACTTTGTGTTTTTATGTGGGTGCAAACTGTTGAAATCTTTACTTAATATATACTAAACTGATCTTCTGTATGTAAGAGAAATGAAAATGAATCTTTTTTTTTTTTTTGACAGGCAGAGTGGACAGTAAGAGAGAGAGACAGAGAGAAAGGTCTTCCTTTGCCGTTGGTTCACCCTGCAATGGCCGCTGCGGCTGGCGCACCGCACTGATCCGATGGCAGGAGCAAGGAGCCAGGTGCTTTTCCTGGTCTCCCATGAGGTGCAGGGCCCAAGCACCTGGGCCATCCTCCACTGCACTCCCTGGGCACAGCAGAGGGCTGGCCTGGAAGGGGGCAACCGGGACAGAATCCGGCGCCCCGACCGGGACTAGAACCTGGTGTGCGATTAGCCTAGTGAGCCGCAGCGCCGGCTGAAAATGAATCTTGATGTGAATGGAAGGGGAGAGGGAGCGGGAAAGGGGAGGGTTTCGGGAGGGAGGGAAGTTAAGGGGGGGGGGAGCCATTGTAATCCATAAACTGTACTTTGGAAATTTATATTCATTAAATAAAAGTTAAAAAGAAACTTGGAAGTGGAGACCATTTATATTCAATGTGGGTATTGATAAGTAATGACTTTGCCCTGCCATTTTCCAAAGATATTCCTAATTTATACTTTGAACTCCCTTTGTTCTTTTACTGAGGGATTTTCTTCCTTTACCTTCTTTCATATTGATCACCATGTTTCTGTGTGTAACACATCCTTAAGCATCTTTTGCAAGGCTGGATGACAGGTGACAAATTCTTTCAATTTCTGTTTGTAATGGAAGTTACTTATTTCACCTTCATTCACCAATGAGAGCTTAGCAGGGTGTAATATTCTAGGATGACTTTTTTTCTCTCTTAGGACTTGAGCTATATCTCGCCATTCTCCCCTAGCCAGCAGGGTTTCTAATGAGAATTATGCTGTGAATTTAATTAGAGATCCTTGAAAGTAATCTGGCATTTTTTGTGCATATTTTAGAATCTATTCTTTTTTTAACTTGTATTTAATAAATATGAATTTCCATAGTACAACTTTTGGATTATAGGGGCTTTTCCCCACCGATAACCTCCCTCCTATCTGCAACCATCCCATCTCCCACTCCCTCTCCCATCCCATTCTTCATCAAGATTCATTTTCTATTAGCTTTATATACAGAAGATCAACTTAGTATATACTAAGTAAAGATTTCAACAGTTTGCACCCACACAGAAGCACAAGGTGTAAAGTACTGTTTGAGTACTAGTTATACTGTTAATTCACATAGTACAACACATTAAGGACAGAGCTCCTACATGGGGAGTAAGTGCACAGTGACTCCTGTTGTTGATTTAACAATTGACACTCTTAGTTATGACGTCTTTACGTTTCACTATGCTAGTTTGATTACAACGTGTCATGGCAAGGTTGTTTCCTGGTCACGTCTATTGGGAATTCTGTGTGCTTCCTGTACTTGGACAACCCTTTCTTTCTCCAAACCTGGGAAGTTTCATGCTATTATGTCACTAAAAGGGCCTTCTATGACTTTCTGTTTCTCCACACATTCTGGAACTCCTAGAACCCATATATACATATATATATATATATATATATATATATATATATATATATTATATACATATATATATATATTCCTTTAGTATCCTGTAGATTCCCAATAGTGTTTTTAGATTTCTAATTTTCTCTTTGCTTTGACTGTGTACTTCCTTTGCTGTGTCTTCTAAGTCCAATATTCTCTCTTCTCACCAATTAAGGCTCTGCACTGCATTTTTATTTGTTCTGCTGAATTCTTCATTTCTTTTTTATTTCTCTTTAAGATCTCTATTTCATGTTCTATTGAATTCTTCATTTCATTTTGATTCCTCATGAAGACCCCAATGTCATTGGAGAAATTTTCTTTCATGTCCTGCATGAATTTCAGTAGTTCATGCATTTGCTTTTGATCACTTCTGTGTAATCTTATGATCACTTTTTTGTGAAGATGCCAAGGCGACTTCAGCTATCTGAAAGGTCCCAGCAGGAGGTCTGTTTCTGCAGGGCATGAGCACGAAAAGCTGCGGTCCTCTTGGTGGTTTTAGAGTTATTGATACAAAAAAGCCAGTTTCCTGGTGATCTTGCTGATGATTCTTTATTCTTGGAAATCTATGAGAAACGGACTCTGCTCAAAATTACCCCACTGATGGTTGGGCTGGTTGGTAGACTAGATCCTCCTAGAGTAATTCCACCCCTTGTGATGCTTCAGTTATCTGCAAAAAACCCCAGAGGAAACTGCAAACTGTAGGGTATATGGAATGCAGTCAGACCTGAACTAGGGATATGAAGGACCTTGGAGATCTTTGGTCTCCTGCTATAATCCACATGAGAGCATGTCTTAACATAGACTAGTGACTTGTAAATACCTTAGACTGTGTGGCCTGATGGAAAGAACAAAAAGTCATTACCAAAATCAGTGAGTGAGTCTTAAATGAGCTACTAGAACCAATAATAGTGAAGGGTTATGGAAAGGACTCCTGTAATGAATGGGTTGTTTGAGCTGGGTGTTAATGGTTGCAAGTAGAAAAAAACTAAAAGGTCAGTGTTCCAATCTTCATATCAGTTGTTACAAGCAGATGCTCTGATTCTTTGCAAAATAACCACTGTGTTTTTTCTAATCAATTATTAAATAATTTAGCATCACTTTGAATCTCTGATCTATTGTATCTCATATATCAAGTAAATCTATAAAGTTTTTATATGGCTATGGTAATTGGGATTAGGAAGGGTTTAATTTTTTTTATAGGTAAAGTGGACAGTGAGACAGAGAGACAGAGAGAAAGGTTTTCCTTTTTGTCCGTTAGTTCACCCTCCAATGGCCACTGTGGCCAGTGCACCGCGCTGATCTAAAGCCAGGAGCCAGGTGCTTCTCCTGGTCTCCCATGCGGGTGCAGGGCACATGGACTTGGGCCATCCTCCACTGCACTCCAGGACCACAGCAGAGGGCTGGACTGGAAGAGGAGAAACCAGGACAGAATCTGGCGCCCCGACCGGGACTAGAACCCTGTGTGCTGGTGCCGCAGGGGGAGGATTAGCCTATTGGCCGTGGCGCCGGCCAGGGAGGGTTTACATGTAATAGGAGATCAATGGTTTGAAGTGGATGGGAAACAGACTTTGTTATGTTAAGGAAGAATCATTAAGTCTGTAAGGGTCATGCAGGAGTAGACATTTACAAAATTTATGAGAACAGTAAAGAATGTATAAGATGAACAGTGGATACAACTTAAGGTATAAAAAAGTCTGGTGCTCTCTCATCAGAGCCATGCCATCAGCCTTGCTGTGAGCGTGTCTCTCATTCCTCCCAACCCCGATGCCTCCTGCACCTTCGGGAGCCCCTGGACCTACTGGAGCTGCACTCCGGAATTTTTAGTTCCACTTCTTGCATTTCATCTATCATCATCTTCACAATCTAGTATATAAGTGTCATGTTCTTTTGGGAGCATCATGTTATGTTGTCTTCCTTATTCTTGTTTCTTTATTGGTGCATTTGTTGTGTGGAGCTACCTATTGGTTTCTTCTCCTTCTCCTTCTTCTTCTTCTTCCTTCTTCTTCCTTTTTCCTCCTCCTCCTCCTCCTCCTATTCTTCTTCTTCTTCTTTCTTCTTCTTCTTCTTCTTCTTCTTCTTCTTCTTCTTCTTCTTCTTCTTCTTCTTCTTCTTCCTTCTTCTTCTTCTTTCTTCTTTCTTCTTCTTCTTTCTTTCTTTCTTCTTCTTCTTCTTCTTCTTCTTCTTCTTCTTCTTCTTCTTCTTCTTCTTCCTTCTTCCTTCTTCTTCTTCTTCCTTCTTCTTCTTCTTCCTTCTTCCTTTCTTCTTCTTCCTTCTTCTTCCTTCTTTTTCCTTTCTTTCTTTCTTTCTTTCTTTCTTTCTTTCTTTCTTTCTTTCTTTCTTTCTTTCTTTCTTTCTTTCTTTCTTCTTCTTTCTTTTTTTTTGACAGGCAGAGTGGACAGTGAGAGAGAGAGACAGAGAGAAAGGTCTTCCTTTGCCGTTGGTTCACCTTCCAATGGCCGCCGCGGCTGGCGCGCTGTGGCCGGCGCACCGCGCTGATCCGATGGCAGGAGCCAGGAGCCAGGAGCCAGGTGCTTTTCCTGGTCTCCCATGGGGTGCAGGGCCCAAGCACCTGGGCCATCCTCCACTGCACTCCCTGGCCACAGCAGAGGGCTGGCCTGGAAGGGGGCAACCGGGACAGAATCCGGCGCCCCAACCGGGACTAGAACCCGGTGTGCCAGCGCCACTAGCGGAGGATTAGCCTAGTGAGCCGTGGCGCCAGCCTCTTCTTTCTTTTTCTTTCTTCTTTCTTTTTTTTTCTTTCTTTCTTCCTTCCTTCCTTCCTTCCTTCCTTCCTTCCTTCCTTCCTTCCTTCCTTCTTCCTTCTTCCTTCTTCCTTCTTCCTTCTTCCTTCTTCTTTCTTCTTCTTCCTTCTTCCTTCTTCTTCCTTCTTCTTCCTTCCTTCTTCTTCTTTCTTCTCCTCCTCTTCCTCCTCCTCCTTCTTCTTTGCTGTGGCAACTTTTATTGTGTGCTGTGACTTTGTAGATAAATGGAATAATGTGTACCTTCAGGAATCTCTAGAGCCTTGTAATGGATGAGGTCAGGAATTCTGTTCCTTTCTCCAGATAAGAGAAGAGTGTGCCTAAGGTGACACACCCAGGTTTGTCCTGTTGAGTCTTCTCTCTCTGTGTCTCTATCTCTCTCTCTCTGACTCTATCTCTTTTTCACATAAGGGAAGGATGTTCTGCTTATCTGATCTCTTCACCTCAGTGGAGACCAGTGCCTGATGCTAGCCCCAGTGGGTATAATGTTCATATGCTTGGTCTCAAAGAACACACAAAGGATCTGTGCTATCCTCAGTGTAAGTACAGATTCCGCAGCTATGTCTCTCACTGGGTATCCAGGAACCCCTGCATTTGTGGAATCTCACACTGAGACTGCTCAAAGTCCCAGCCGCAGCATGAGTGCTCCCACACACCCTGTTGTTTTCACAGTCCGGGTTCAGAAACTTCAACAGTCACAAGCACCCTGCCCCTTGTATTTCTCCCCACCAGTCAGGAGTCCCACTTGGCTGGTTGCCGGGTAGAGTCACAAGCTGGCACTGCTTTTATGTATGTCTCTTAGGCTAGAGCAGTAAATTCCTCCCTACTCTGCCATCTTGGAAACTCTCCCAAGATTTTTTCTAAAACAATTTAAAATAAGCCAAACCATGAGAAACTTTGTAAAGATAAACATGTATTGACAAAGAGCCACAATGAAGAACATGTTCTAGCAGCTATTAGTACATGCTTGTTTTGTTATTGCTGAATTTCTTGAGTTCTTTATAGATTCTTTATATTAATCCTGTATGAGTTGCATAGTTTGCAGATACTTTCTCCCACTCTTGGTTGCCTCCTGACTTTGCTGAGCATTTCATGTGCAGTGCAGGAGCTTCTTAGCTTCAGTAATCCTATTTATCTATTTTTGTTTTGATTGCTTGCACTTCTGCTGACTTGTCCATGAAGTCTTTGCCTATGCCGATGTGTTCAAGAGTTTCCTAAATGTTTTCCCCTAGTAATTTGATGGTATCAAGTCATAGATTTAGATCCTTGATCATTTTGAGTTGATTTTTGTATAAAGTATAAGGCAGGGGATTTGTTTCTCATGCTTCTGCATGCATAGATTTTCCCACACCATTTGTTGAAGAGATTGTCCTTCAGGGATTGATTTTAGCTCCTTTATCAAAGATTAGTTGGTTGTAGATATGTGGATTGATTTTGGGATTTTCTATTCCGTTCCATTGGGACATGCCAATATTTGCCAGTACCAGGCTGTTTTGGTGATCACTGTAGTATGTAGTATGTCTTGTAGTATGTCTTGAGAACTGATGTGCTGTGTCCACCTTTGTTTCTGTTGTATAAGATTGCTTTGGCTTTTTAAAGCCTCTTGTGTTTCCATATGAATTTTAGTATCGTTTTTTCTCCACCTGAGAAGAATATCATTGGTATTTTGATTGGGATCATTGAATCTGCAAATTATATAGAAATTTTGATATACATATTTTCAGTCCAAGAACATGGATGATTTTTCTCTTTTTTTCTTTCTTCTTCCTTTTTTTCTTTAATGCTTTATAATTTTTATTTTTCCAAAAGATTTGTTTATTTAGTAGAAAGACAGTGTTAGAGAGGTAGAGACAGAGAGAGAGGTCCTCCATCTGCAATGGCCACAATGACCGGAACTGCGCAGATCCAAACCCAGGAGCCAGGAGTGTCTTCCAGGTCTCCCACATGAGTGCAGGAGCCCAAGAGCTTTGGCCATCTTCTACTGCTTTCCCAGGCCATAACAGAGAGCTGGGTTGGAAGAGGAGCTTCCAGGACTAGAACCGGTGCCTATATGTGATGCCACTGGTTCAGGTCAGGACTTATACCCTCTGCACCACAGCACCAGCCTATAATTTTTATTGTAGAGATCTTCCATTCACTTCCTTGCTAATTTTATTCCAAAGTTTGTAATTATTTTGTAGCTATTTTTAATGAAATTGATATTAGAAGTTATTTCTCGAGCGGCGCCATGGCTCACTATGCTAATCCTCCACCTTGCGGTGCCGGCACACCGGGTTCTAGTCCTGGTTGGGGTGCTGATTCTGTCCCAGTTGCCCCTCTTCCAGGCCAGCTCTCTGCTGTGGCCAGGGAGTGCAGTGGAGGATGGCCCAAGTGCTTGGGCCCTGCACCCCATGGGAGACCAGGAGAAGTACCTGGCTCCTGCCATCGGATCAGCGCCATGCGCTGGCCACAGCGTGCCGGCCATGGTGCCATTGGAGGGTGAACCAACGGCAAAGGAAGACCTTTCTCTCTGTCTCTCTCTCTGTCACTGTCCACTCTGCCTGTCAAAAAAAAAAGTTATTTCTCAGCCATGGCATTTTCTGTGTTTACAAAGGCTATTGATTTTTGCCTGTTAATTTTGTATCCTGCTACTTTACCAAAGACTTTGTGAGTTCCAATAGTCTCTTAGTGGAGTGGAGTATTTTTTTTCCTATGTGTAGAATCATGTCATCTGAAAACAGGAATAACTTGACTTCCTCCTTTTTATTTTGTATGCCTTTGATTTATTTTTCTTTCTTAATAGCTTGGCTAAAACTTGAGAGTGGGCATCCTGTCTGTTTCTGGTCTCAGTGGGATTGCTTCCAACTTTTCACCATCAATATGATGCTGGTGGTTTGCTTGTGTAATACCTAGGTTGTGTTGAGGAATGTTCCTTCTATACCCAATTTGCTTATGGTTTTTATCATGAAAGGACGTGGTATTTCTCTCATGTATTTTTTAAATCTTTGTTTATATTTATGGTTGAAAGGTTGACTACAATATGTTGAACTGAACATCTTTTGTGGTCATGTTTATTTGGAGTTCTGTGAGCTTCCTGTATGTGGATGTGCCTCGCTTTCTGCAAATTTGGGAAGTTTTCTGTTATCATTTCCTAAATACGCCTTTTTAAGTCATCCTCTCTTTGTATACACTCAGGAACTCCAAAGACCCAAATGTTGAGTCATTTGATAGTATCCCATAAATCTCAAGCAGTGTTTTTATATTTTGATTTATTTTTCTTTGTTATGGTCTGAATAATATATTTCCAACGATTTGTCTTCTAGGTCAGATATTCCTTTTTCTGCCTCATCAAGTCTATTGTTAAGGCTTTTACTGTATTTTCAAGGTGTATGTATTTATTGGAAAATCAGAGTTGCAGAGACAGAGAGAGAGAGAGAGATTGAGAGGCAGACAGAAAGTACTTCCATCCACTGGTTCACTGAGCTGGGACTTGAACCACCACCCATATGGGATGACAGCACTACAAATCTGTTGCTAAGGCTTTCTCATGTATTTTTCAAGATTTATTTAGTTAGTTAGTTAGTTATTTGAAAGGCAGGGTTATAGAGAGGTAGAGACAGAGAGAGAGAAAGATCTTCCATTCGCTGGCTCAGGCCCAAATGGCTACAACAGCTAGAGCTGCACCAATCTCAAGACTTCACTGGGTTTCCCACACAGGAGCAGGAGCCCAAGGACTTGGGCCATCTTCCCCTGCTTTGCCAGGCCAAAGCAGAGGGCTGGATCAGAAGTGAAGCAGTTGGGACTTGAACTAGCACCATATGGGATGCTGGCACTACAGGTGGTGGCTTGCCCACTATGCCACAGCGCCAGCCCCATGAATTCATCATTTCTAATGTTACACTTTGATTTCTCTTCAAAATCTCAGTCTCAGGGCATAATTTTTCATCCACGTCATGTATAGAGTTCTGTAACATAGTTTTGCTTCTCATTGCTTCTGAGTAATCCTATGATCATTGGTTGAATTGCTTTTCAGGTGTTTCATCAATCTCTTTTTCTTCACATTCTAATATTGAAATGTTGTTGTGTTCCTTTGGGGAAGTCATGTTGTCTTCTTATTCTTGTTTCTTGAATTTCTGTGTTTATTTTTAGACATTTGTGTAAAATCGTGTTGGTTATCTCCTCTGATAAATTTTATCTTGAACTGTGTCTTAGTGGGCATCTGCTCTTCCAGTGAATACCCAGAGATGTGTGCTGGGTGTGGCCAGGGGACTGTGGTCAGTGCCTCTGATGGCTCGGGAACTAGAGTGACACTCCAGTTGGACCTGGTAGATCTCCTTTATTGTCAGCAGGGGCATCCGACTTCCTCTGTAGAATTTCCACTGCAAACATCTCCAACTGCACCTGGGAATTCATTTCTTTCACTTTGCTTCTGCTATTTTCCCTAGTTTAAGAGCAGCATCTCTTGGCATCTCGAAATGTTCATTGGAATCATTATACTGCTTCTTTTTATCGAGACTTTGCTTTACTTCTTGATCCTGGCAGGATATTCCTCTCTGACTTGAGAAGAATAAAATAGCACTTGGGGGCAAAAATGCATACAAGTAACCCAGCACTGGAAGCCAAGATGGAAAAGACCTCCACAGCCACCATGAACTTCCCTTTGGTGCTGTTATACACAGGGAGGAATGCAATCCAAACGCTGCAGAACACCAGCATACTGAAGGTCAAGAACTTGGCTTCATTGAACGTGTCTGGCAGGCTCCTGGCCAGGAAGGCCAAAGTGAAGCTCCCCATAGCCAAGGAGCCCAAGTAGCCCAAGAAAATGTAGAACATAATCACAGAGCCCTTGTTGCAAACCATGATAAGGAGAGTAGGCTCAGAATTTGTGTCGGTGTCAATGAAAGGGGGAGCGATTACCATCCAGACAACACCGAAAGTCACTTGAACGAGTGAGCAGAGGGGAATGATAGAATTGGGTGCCCCTGATAGCAACCATTGCCTCATCTTCATCCCTGGCATTGTGGACTTGAAAGCCAGTACCACCGTGACGGTTTTAGCCAGAACAGTAGAAACAGCCACAGTAAATAACACTCCAAATGTCATTTGTTGGAGGATGCAGGTGGCAGTGTTGGGTTGGCCAATGAAGAGCAGGGGGCAGAGGAAGCACAAGATGAGGGACAGGAGCAGAATGTAGCTAAGAGTTCGGTTGTTAGCCTTGACTATGGGAGTGTCTCTGTGCTTCACAAAGACTCCAAGAACCACAGCTGTGAGGATAGACAGGGAAAGAGCTGCACAGGCAAGCACCATCCCCACAGGATCTTCATATGCCAAGAAAGTTACAACCTTTGGCAGGCAGTGATCTCTTTTGCTGTTTGGGTATTGGTCATCTAGACACTTGATGCATTGCTTCATATCTGGAAGAAAAGCAAAGTGCCATGATCTTGGGTTCCAGAATTCTGTAGAACTCTCAGAATTTGCTCAATGGCTGAGTTGCTGTAATTAGACGACAAATACAGGAATGTTCCAGAGAGGGAAACTACAAGTTCAATGATGTTTATTTTTTGTTGGCATATCAAGGACCAAAGAGCTCTAATATCACATCTTTTTTCATATTTCAAATGTAAGGCATTAGATTTTTCTTACAAACACAACTTGTACTCAGTATCATTCAAATATCACTATTAGGACATATCCTAGATTCAGTTACTCAAAGCCAAGTATGCATTGATAACCTGAGGCGTAACCAGAAAATTTCCCACTCCTGCAGGTATAGAGATGACTGAGACTTCACTCTAAGCTTCCCAGCCAGATTCCAATCTGCCTTCTTCCATCTGCCCTCTTCATGGTCTCATTATGTTTCTTGTTTAATCCTGTCTAGGATTTGTCAATAGAAAGAAAAATAGGGAAGAGTCCATCTGCTTGGTCTTTTCAGAAGTGGCAGTCTATGAGCACTGCATGTAAATTATTTAATAGATTTCTATCCATTCATTTACGTTTCTATGGACTGCTTAAGTGCTCTTCTTCCTTGAGATATTTGGTCAATATCAATATTCATTTTTTTCAGTTAGATACTCCCTAGGTCATTACACTTACTGCACTTGGATCGTGACCCTTGCCATGTAGCCTGAAATTTTTCATCACGTTTTTTCCTCTCCTTGCTTTAGAACTCTAGGAGCAGGGTCTCTTAAAGCAGCTGGATAACTCTAATGTCTCCTCAGCACATTCCACAGTGGCTGACTCATAGCAGTAGTACAGGATGTTTATTCATTTGTTCAACTGTGGAGCTTATTTCTGAATGCTTTGTGTCATGAATGGTGCTAGATGCTAGAGACATGAAGTTGAGTAGGATTCAAACCTTCAGTGTTCAGAGTGTAATTGAAACGGATGTGTACATTAAACCCTAGAAACTCATAATACTGTGTAGTACGTTCTATGGTAGAAATAAATGCAGGTCACTCAGATTTGATCCTTCAAAATATTTTCTTGAAAAGGTAATTCTGAGGGCCAAAAAGAGAGTAGGTACAAGCAAGCTGAAAGGAAGAGTATCCTTCTCTGGGGAGGGTTGTTAATTTTTAATGAAATGACAGAAGAATTGAAAGAAGGGCTGAATTTTCAGTCTATTCCAGTTCCTCATTTTTTTGGACAAATGGGAATGTAAGCGGGAGGAGGAGGTGGGAATTCCTCTGAATCTATACCTGTGTCATTGGAAATCTCCCTCTCTGGGCAGGGCGTACAGTCAAAACAGCAGGCAGCCTTTCCCTCCTGAGGACTTTGCCTGAATCCAGGGCCACAGTTCTTGCTGCACAAAGAGCGAGGAGTCTGAAAGAATCAGACTTGTTAACCATCTCAAATATGGTCCAGTCTGTGGATAAGCAGATGTTTCCGACAGTACCTACAAGTCTCATTTACAGAAAAAGAGAATAGAGCAGTGGTCACTAGAGGCTAGACAGGGTGGCTGTGGGAGGATGACAGGCTACCAGAATACTCTTAGATGAGAAGAGTAAGTTCTGGTGTTGTGGTGCAAAGTAGGGGGACCACAGATTATAATATTTTGTAATATATATATGTATTTATATATATGTATGCATGTATGTAATTTTTTAAAAAAGATTTATTTATTCAATTGGAAGGCAGAAAGACACACACAGAGAGATCTTGCCTCCACTAGTTTACTCCACAAATGGCTGCCACAGCCAGAGTTGGACTGATCCAAAGCCAAGATCCTGGAGCTACTCCCAGGTCTCCCACGTGGGTGCAGAAGCCCAAGGACTTGGGCCATCTTTTACCGGTTTCCCAAGCCATAGCAGACAGCAGGTTCCGAAGTGGAACAGCTGGAACTCGAATGGATGCCCATATGGGATGCCAGAACTCTGGCCAGGGCATTAACCCACTGTGCCACATCACTGGCCCTGATAATTTGTTATATATTTTTATAAAGCATTGAGCAGAGTATGGAGGCCAAGAGGCAAACATAAAGAAATTATAAATGCTTAAGGTGATGACAGGGCTAACTACCCTGATTTTTACATTGCACTTTCATACAAATCAGATTATCACACTATATTACATGTACAATTCATTATATGTCAGGTTAAAAAAGTAACCCAATGGCTAGATTGGATGCTCTTATCTGCGGTACTTCAAAAACATTTATAAGGAAAATGAAATTAAAAGATAAATTTATTATGGTACAGCAATTTTTTGAAATCTATGCATTCTTCAGAATATTCATGGAAAATGCATATTATAAAAAACTGCATGGAATCAAAACTTTTGCACACAGATGTTTCTTTGCATATTCCACACACTTTTGAAGTACTCTCCTGCTTTATGATGTGAACTCTCCCAGATTTTAGAAGCATGTGATTGATTATATGCAATTTTCCCAGGTCTCTGACACTGATAAGAAAGGAAAATTACTCAAGTTGTAACAGGCAACTGTGTTCTTTCACTGAGCAGAAAGAGATCACCAAAGTCCCCATGACTGGGTTCTTTTCTGAGTAGCTATGTGTCATACATATATAGCCAAGAAACTATGTCCAACTAACCTCTTTAAACTCAAAAGCCCAATTTATCAACTCTTCATGTATGGAAAAATCTTGATCACGTGGAGCCAGTGGGACAAAATGTCCTACTCTCACTTGAAGCCCAAGTCCATCAGGAAAATTCCAGAAGTTGAGGATATCGTATTCTTCCACAGGGGTTGCTTGTTGGTCTAAAATTATCTGGTCGCCAGCACTGTTGTTAAACTGCACTCTCTTCAGAATGGAGTGGAGCTGGAACAGATGCAGTTAGATGGTAGAGAGAATTCTGGATGTGGACTCAAGCTCTGTTAGCTGTGTGACGTTGGATAACTCCTTTACTCTTTTATATATACTTATATATATATATTATATTAGCCATAGGCATACCCATGAAATCAATTAGGAAATTAGCCACGAAAGCACCAGATGCAATAGAGTCACTTCCCTGTCAGTCACAACTTTTTGCTTCAGAACATGAGAACAACAACAACAACCTCTAGGTATTAAATTCAGAAAACACCACAAAGTCAAATTTAGCATGACCCATTTTCATCAGAAATCTTTCAAAACTCCTCTTTATTCATCTTCAAAATGGGGATAAAGTATTGCTTAATTATTATATAAAAAAGTCATACACATATACACAGGTATATCGATTATTTGTCCTTTCTATATCTGTACATAGGATCAAAATACTAAATCAATCACTCCATTGCCAGTCTTGACATATGGACCTCAAACACGTATTCTCTTTACTGTCTTTAAGGGTATCAAAGAATTCAGACATCTAATATTATACTGAAAATATAGGGTTGGCAGGACTTTGAGCTTCTTTGTGACTACAAGAGTCACATTGGCTCACAAATTTCAAAATGCTTTGCCATTGGCACTTTCTCTTTGTGGCTGTTCCTACACAAGTTGAATGTGAAACTATGTACGTATCCCTCCTAGGCAATAAAGCTCATAAGATACTGTAACTCTGAGGAATAACTCAAAATTTTATTTCCTGTTGAAGTTCTGAAAAGGTTACATTTGATTATGTATTTGGGCTGAGTTGAGAATCAATCGATCACCAGGAAGCACCTGCCTGAACTGGAACATTACCTGCCAAGGGTGAACCACTGGCTTCTCTCCATGTCCAGGTGATTGCATTTCTGACAGTTGAAAAAGAAGTTCATGAAGGGTTTGGGCCACAGCATGCACAGCATTGTATACAAGGTAGCTCCCATCAGACGTGGTCATATCAAAGGTATGCAAAGGGAGAGACTCCAAAGAGACATTTGGGGGACAGCTCTCCAATTTTCCACAGTCAGTCTCAGAAAGCAAGCAATGGAAATGCAGGAACCACAATTTAGCAAGATAAAAGTCTTGTGGGTATTTAGCAGGGTTAACGCCCTGAAGAAACTGCTTGAAACCTGGGATCTCCTTATGGGATTGTGAAAAAGTCAGAGTCCCATGGAATGAGTCCAACAGGGAATATCTTTCAGAAAAGACAAAATCCCACTGTGATGTAGTGATCCAGACTTTCCCTGTCATCAGAATGTTCCACTTTGAAAAACTTAGTCCTAGAAGTGAGTCCGAGTCACCATAAATGACCACCACATTTGCTGAGGAATCTCGTATTCTGTAGTGGTATTGCCAGGCCAATGAGAAATACGCCCTCTCAGTGATAGGAATCATTTCCACAAAGGCCACACAGATGCCATTCTTGTCCATCTCTCCTGTCAAGTCCCAGAGAAACTGAATACCCTTCATGTCTTCTGAAATAGCCAGTCCAACCCAGGTCCACCCAAAATGTAGCATTAGCCGGACCATGCCAAGGGCCAGGGCCGTGTTTCTGGGGGCCATCTGATAGATAGATGGAAACTGGCTCCTGTCACTCAGGATGGGATCAAAAGAGCCATAAGTGAGCTAAATGGGAAAAGAAAAACATGGACCCATCAGCGAATCCCACTAAAGGTTAATGGTTACAGGAACTCATGGAGATTATCTGACTACTGTTTCAAGTGTTACTTGTGTTTTAAAGTAATCCTAGAGTAGCTTGGCTTGTTGCATTTTTTGCATTACTCTTAGTATGAGAGTTCCCTATAAAATGATTGTTCAAACTCAAAAGTCCCAGAAACTTTAGGCAATTGTGGCTCCCCTCAATTATTCCTTCCTCCTAATTCTCAATAGGAATTTGAATTATAGACCCAGGTTCTTAGCATCTCACATATGAAGGCCATTTTGATGTAATTTTGCAATTATTATTCCTGGAAATATAATTTACTTCCCTATTCCTTGACTGTGCTTGACATGTGACTTGATTATTTAAGGGATATTAATGAACATAGACACCCACTTGCAATGTGCACACTCAATTATGATGGAATTTTTGCATTTCTTCTATTGGAATGGAAAATTTCCACATGTATTTCCTATCTCGTCAGACTGGGCTGAAAGGGAACACATGTGGAGCAGACGTGAGAATAACCAAGAATAAGAAGCAAATCCTAATGAGCCTTAGTCCAGCCTAGATCAGGTGACCACACCATAAACCAATAGATACATACATGAGAATGCATGTTGTTTTGAGTTAGAGTTTTAACTATAGTTTTTTGATGCAAGCATTATCATGTCAAGCAATAACTTATGGATATGGAAATTGGTATGTAGAAGTAGGGTGAAGTTATAAAAATGTACTAGTGGTTTGGAATCATGGAATTGTGGTGATAAAAACTGTTAGGGGATTTTGGAAAAGTAGTCATAGAACTTCTATAGGGGACTAAAAGATGTTTCCATGTTCTGTTGTAGAAAAAAAATGTGATAAAACTGGGGCTGGCATGTGCTGCAGTGGTTAAGCCACTCCTTGTGATGCTGGCATCTCATACAGGAGTGCTGGTTCAAGTCCTAGCTGTTCTGCATCCTATGCAGCCCTGCTAATGCACCTGGGAAAGCACTGGAAGATAGTCCAAGTACATGGGGCCCTCCCAGGCATCCTGGAGACATGGATGAAGTTCCAGTTTACTGGCTTAGGTCTGGCCTAGCCGTGGTTCTTGCTACCATTTGGGGGAGTGAACCAGTGAATGGAAGATCTCTCTATCTCTCCCTGCCAGTCTCTTAATTTGCCTTTCAAATAAATAAATAATAAAAACTATGATAGAAGTGTCACTATCATAACTAGGAAGGTAGAAAATGAACCATAATGAACATATGGGTTTGGGAAAAATAGTTTTCCAGGCAGAAGGTTAAATGAATGAGATGACTCTTACAAATGCATATAATATGAAAGAGAGGAACAGGGAAAAGTACTGGATAATTTGCAAATCAAGATTCATAGGGGATTAACAGAGTCTAAAAATTGCACTATTAGAAAATTCAACTATTTCTCAGGAAATCAAAAGTGTTGCTATTATCATAGAGCCTCATAAAAATGTCCAAATCCCAATAAAACATAGCTTCCAGGAAAGTAAAATGTGTGTGTTTAGGTTTGTTCTTTTAAGACCTCTGAAATGTAAGGTGGTTACTAGGCTCATTTTTTAGACATCCAAAAATGGCATCACAGCAGATAAGATTCCATTCTTCCCCACCCCATGGCATCTTACCTGTGGATATTTGTAGAGTTCCAGTATTGTTCCCATCTGAGCTGAAATTGCCCACGTGGTTCCTACAGTAACTGCCACAGACTTGCCCTCTCTCACACAGGAATAGTTAGGGATCACCTTGCCTAGTCCAGACAACCACATCAGGCAACTTTCCAAAGTCCATTTCTCACTGTGCAATGCATTGTAGAGATCAAATCCTAGGGATATGTTGGGTAAAAGGTAGGGGTTCCTGTTGATCTCTTCAATGGCAAAAACAAAGGCTAGAACATACTGGTAGTTTGATGAGTAAAACCTGCATGGAAATCATAAATGTATTTAATAAAAGGTTCAAACAATGTGATTTAAGATTATTTTTTGAATTCAAGAAAAATAGAGTATGCTGGAGGGAAAGAAAGCCCAGTGAACTTATTCACTGGTAGGGAGCAGCTGTGCCTCCTCAGGACTGAGAATTGGGACTTCAGGAATGATTTAACTGGGGCTCTTGAAGACCCTAACTGCATGGCATATATTCTAAAAGTAGGTATCAAAGTATAGGCTTAGTGAAGATTCAGTTCACACTCAGTATAAATTTGACCCATTTTTTTAATATAGGATAGTAAGTGTTTATGTTCTAGTGAATGATCATTTATTAATTATACTATATTATATATGTTCTAGTTAATGACCATGAAACACTGTGCTTTGGTTATGTATTAGCATAAATTTGGTGATGCGCATGTGAGGAGGCTATTTTCGAGTTACTGTGTATGGAGCTACATTAATTCAGTGCCAATGATCCAGGCAGAATGAGAAAGTTAGAACTAGAAATGAACTAGTTAATGAACTAGAAAAATATGGAAAACAGAGGTAGAGACCAAAAAAAGACCCAGGGAGAGGCAACAAGTGCTTGGGCTCCTGGACCTGCATAGGAGAACTGGGAGAAGCACCTGACTCCTGGCTTCAGATCAGTGCAGTGCCGGCCGTAGCAGCCATTTCAGAAATGAACCAATGGAAGGAAGACCTTTCTCTCTATCTCTCCCTGCTTTCTGTCTATAACTCTACCTGTCAAATAAATAAAGAAAAAAAACTGAGGCAGTATGGCATAGTCATCACGAAAGGAGTTGTGCAGCAACAGAGACTCTTGGTAAGCATAAATAGGCACTGAAAGATTTTGACTTTATCCAGATGTGGAAGACATAGGAACAACACATTGTAAACTCTTGCCGTCTATTGGCTAACCCCTTATACAGTAAAAAACCAAGCAAATTGTAAATTAAGCAATTTAAATAACCCACAGATTACAGAAGAAATTAGAAAATATTCTGAATTGAATACGAGAACATAGAACATATAAAACCTTTTGTGAAACAAAACTGAGGTAAATGGGCCAGCGCTGTGGCGCAGGAGGTTAATCCTCGGCCTGTGGTGCAGGCATCCCAAATGGGCATTGGTTCATGTCCCTGCTGCTCCTCTTCCCAACCAGCTTTCTACTACGGCCTGGGAAAGCATGAGAAGATGGCTCAAGTTGTTGGGCTTCTGCACCCACGTGGCAGAACTGGAAGAAGCTGTTGTCTCCTGGCTCAGATCGGCGCAGCTCCAGCCATTGTGGGCATTTGAGGTGTGAACCACCAATGGAAGACCTTTGTCTCTCCCTCTCACTGTCTGAGACTCTACCTCTCAAATAAATAAAATCTTTTTAAAAAATTGAGGTAGGCCGGTGCCACGGCTCACTAGGCTAATCCTCCACCTTGCAGCGCCAGCACCCCAGGTTCTAGTTCCAGTCAGGGCACCGGATTCTGTCCCGGTTGCCCTCTTCCAGGCCAGCTCTCTGCTGTTGCCAGGGAGTGCAGTGGATGATGGCCCAAGTGCTTGGGCCCTGCAACCCATGGGAGACCAGGATAAGTACCTGGCTCCTGCCATTGGATCAGCGAAGTGCGCCGGCCACAGCGTGCCGGCCGTGCTGGCCATTGGAGGGTGAACCAATGGCAAAGGAAGACCTTTCTCTCTGTCTCCCTCTCTCACTGTCCACTCTGCCTGTCAAAAAAAAATTGAGGTAAATTTGTCACCTTAAGTGCTTATATTAAAAAAAGAAGTTCTCTCTGGTGAGCAGAATAGTTACCTCTAAAGATGTTACATCCTAATCCCCAGAAGACCCCGATGTAATCTTACATTACATATGGAATTCAGTTTGCTATCCAGTTGACCTTAAAATGGGAAGATTATCTTGTACTATGCAGGTGGGTCCAATCTAATCATAAGAGTCCTTGAAAGTAGAAGAGAAAGGCAGAAGAAGGTTAGAGGGAAACAAACGAGACAGAAAGAGGGGGAGAAGAGATTTAAGGTGTCAGAGGGGGCCGGTGCTGCGGTGTAGTAGGCTAAACCTCCATCTGTGATGCCGGCCTTCCATATGGGCACCAGTTCATGTCCCAGCTGCTCCTCTGCTGATCTAATAGCTCACTGCCGTTCTGCCTGAGAAAGCTCTAGAAGGTGACAAAAGTGCTTGGGCCCCTGCACCTGCACAGGAAACCCAGAAGAAGCTCCTAGTTTCAGGTCCCAGCTCTGGCCATGCAGCCATTTGGGAAGTGAACCAGCAGATGGAAGATCTTTCTCTCTGTCTTCAACTCCTCCTGTCTCTGTCTGCGACTCTGTCTCTCAAATAAATATGGAATTTTAAAGTTTCAGAGGGACTCAAGTTACCTTTGTTGGCAAGATGGAGAGAGGAGGCCCTGGACCCAGGAATGTGCATGGCCACAAGAATCTGGGAGCAACCCTTAGCTCGTAGCAAGTGAGGAAATCGGGAGATCAGTTCTTCAACTACAAAGAACTGAATTCTGCTAACAGCACAAATGAGCAAGGAAATGCATCTTCTCTTAAGGAATCCAGGAAGGAACAGAGTTCTCTCCACATCCTAATGTTGATGCAGTGAGACTCACGTTGGGCTTGGACCTACAGAACTGTAATATGATAAATTTGTGCTATTTGAACTGTTAAGATTGTGGTAATGTTAGAGAAGGAATAATTAAACTAACACATTCTCAATTGAATTATTTATTTTTCTACCTGAAGGAACAGGAAAAGGAAGATCAGCTTAAAGACAAAGCAAGAAGGAAGAAAGTAATAAAGAGGCAGCAATTAATGAAAAAGAAAAAAACAATAAGAAACAAAGGTGGGATTTTGAAGGAGTAAATAAAATTCTGAAGCCTCTTATTAACCTTACAGAGAAAATAAGAGGTCAGAATTGCCTTTAACAAGAATTAAATGAGAATAGAAGATGCTACAGACATAAAAATGATAACGAAGGGATAATATGAACAATTTTATGGCAACATAATAGAAAACATC